TAGTGACAACTGATAGAACACAACTGCAACAGGCTAGTCTTCATTGGCAGAAATCATTTACATTTTGTGGAGGCTGTTGTCATCTGTGTTGTGTGGTCTGCACTCGACGAGCAGCTAGTTTCGGAAACAGAGAGTGATGAGTATTGAAAGCAACTACTCCAGATCAAACTGGTGATTAACAGCGGACGATCACGTATGTATGGATGCTGAGTTGACTGAAAATGAAAAAAAGGACCGCTTATGAGGTTCCTAATAAGGATCCATCTCGTCCACCTTGAAATGAGAAAGGCATGTGTCTAGATGAGCTTGAATATGACAGTGGACACTGTTTGAAACGGCGGGAATTCCTTTGAACAGTGGGTCCCGCCCCAGTTGAGTTGGTACATCGAACGATCCGCTGACTCGCTGGTACATCGTTCGACTCGCTGGCGCAAAGTTCGATTCGCTGGTGCAACGTTCGATTCGCTGGCGCAACGCTCGGATCCAGCGATTCGCTAGCGAATCGCTCGATTCGCAAAATCCAACATCAACCTTGGGGATGGCGATGATCGCCTCACGTGCCTGATGTCGTACGCTTTAGAGTTAGAAAAAGTCTAGGAGTGCAGAACATTTTTTCCTCAACGGAAGATTCCACAGAAAATCAGAGGTTGAAGTAGCGAAATATATGTTCAGAGAAGGAAGGCAAGCTATCAAAAATGCAGGACGAGGCGCTTCCGCCGGCGAACACTGTGCCAGGGTCCTTACCTGCGGCGCCATATGGCGATGCTCTCCTCCGACTGGCCACCCCTCGCCGTCGATCTCTAGCTGTAGACCTAGCCGTTTGGTAGAGACGCACAACAGCGCGTTCACGCTGATTATTTCAGCACCACTTAGACTCGCCCACTGCAGAATCCAATGGGCAAAAAGGAGATCAAATTTTTCGGGTTCTGAGTCGTTTTTCTTCACTTTTTCTTTATCCCTGCATCACTTCTACCATTATTTTAATGGTATGCCTTTTTATCGCAAAATCTGCGCTCGACCGCGCTCGACAGTGCGTCAGTACAATGTGTGACCACGACTGCTGGGCCTTCAGGGAAAACGAGTACCGTAAAAAGCGAGAACCGTAAAACTGAGTATGCCGCTCAGCTTTTGGTCGTTCCATTTTTCGATCACACTTTAATCACTTAACCCTTTGACGACGATGGGTGCCACTACGTCCGTGGCGTGGGAAAAGACCCAATGGTGGGTGACTTTCCTCCATTTGCATTTAAAACATTTGTAATACCCCAGTAATTATAAGCAAGTCCATAATATCTATGGCTACACGACTTACAGGAATGTTTACTATGAGCTAATTCAAATAGAATTTCGAAATGCCCATTTAGCCGCCACCATATGAATTGGGGTTTTAAACTATTAGGCCAAAGATTAATGACTAAACTTCTTCGTCTTCTCATATAGCCCTCAGATACAGGAAGGTGTTTGAAGTGTACCGGAAATTCTCCTGAACACTTAAACATTTTAGAGGTTTTGCCTCCTTCCCTTTAAAACGCGAGTTCCCCGTCCAAATTTGAAATTCTCTTGAAAAAATTTAATTCACAGTATGAAAGCCTAGAACTGCAGCTATAACTGGTACTGTTTTAGAGTCGAAAATTCTACAGAAAATCGCTCTAAAGGACAATTTTTGTCCTAGTTGTGAGAGGAGAGATGAAATAAGCGTGGTCCCATGAGCAAGCCACGTGCAAATCCACATTGTAGTCGAAGAGTTAATGTGTCGCTCTTTCACGACGTAACTCCAAAAACCTGCCATTCCCTTGCCTGCCTCCCACTCCTTCCCCTCCCCCTAATATTTCCTCGTTTGTGGAGTAAAATTGCATTTGCTTCTGTGTACTATTGTAGTAAACGCAAGTGCGTACAAATACAACCACCTTCAGCAAAGCCGAAACTACATCCAACAGATGTACAGTTGAAAACGAACGCTTATGCCCGAGTTTCAGTTAGACTACCAACAGTGCTCGTTGCGTGTTCACACATAATTTAATAGATATTTTTAAAGAGCGATTGAGCACTTCATTTCATTCTCACCTTGTAATGCTCCTACTCTGGAATTAAATAGATATATTTTACTCTATTTCTTAGAGAGACTCACCAAATTTGGGACCGTCTTATAGGTAAAAGACACATGATAGAAAAAGAAAAAATTAAGAGCTCAACGAAATCGTTCTCAGTTAAAGATGTTAATTCGGAACCTATTGGAAGTAGTACAAACATAGAAAGATAAAGCCGAGAAGTAGCAAAAAGGAAAAAACAACGACTCAGAGAAAAAAGTGGCTTCCGAGATAGTTGTGATTATTAGTTTGAGACTCAGCAGGAACAAAAAATACGGTTAACCAACAAAACAAACAAACAAACAATATTTTAAGAAATTTCATGTCTATCAAGCACTACTAATCTATACACTCACTCTTATAACAAACAACAACACAAGCAACCTGAGCAAAACCGCGTACACTTGAACGGAGTTCAGCTATCCTGATAATACCTAACCATAGTAATAAAAATAACAAAAAAATCTAAAAACAAGATCTTCAAACATAAAAATGTCATGGAAACCCTAAACTAATGAGAACAACCTGATCATGCTTTTTCAGGTTTTTCCTCCTTCTTTTCGTCCTCTTCAGCTTCGGCAACTCTATAGAGTTGATACAGTTTTGCAAGTTGTTGGAAATCATCTACACTTCTCGCTTCCTCGATCAATCGTCGAGAGACATCTACGCCAGAGCCATACACATTCAGCATAAGCACACCAACAACCTATGGGAGAATAAATATCTCTCTATAATCGAAAAATGTCTTTTCTCACTAATTACAGTATCTCCAGTCAACAGAATTCTGTCGAACTATTTCCATTTAAAAAGCTCTCACTGGCCCAAAAATGGACCCCGACATTCAGAGATGGAATGCCCGCCATGCCGCCTGTTATAATGACTATTACAAAAATATTTACCTTCCCGTCATCTCCTTTATAGAACACGACGCCTCGCTCATAGCTTTCATTGGCATTATCCTATAACAAGGTAGTTAAAACGGTGTGATAAATAAGAAAGCCAATGGTAAACAGCGAAGCAAACAAAACAAACATCTTTCGCGAACACTGAGACAGTTGGCAGCGATGAATCTGTGATGCCGACGGCGTTGATGTGCCAATGAGGAGCAATTTTTGAGAAGAACGCTGGTTGATACCTGACATTGCGATACAGATCAGAAGTGTGTTATTTCAACGATTTTGCGAAAAGACTCACCAGAATGCCCTCCCAGCTCCTGTCATGTTCTCGCCTGCCAATCGCCCACTCACCTGAATAGTAATACAATTTTAGGAAACCCATAATATATGCCATGTGAGGATCCACCTGTGCATTTTCCCAGTGCTCTATTCTTCGTCTACCCAGGGATTTGTCATAGAACGATGCCGCGTCTCCTGCAGCCCAAATATCCGATCGAACACGTAACTCTGCATCCGTGGTTACACCGCCTAACCGGCTGTCAATCTGGGAAAGAAAGGTTGACTGGAAAGAAAAAATTTGGTGCGGTAAGACCATAAAGCGCAAAATAGAACTGACACCAGATCTGATTACTGTACCGTACGAAATTATCCTTTTTGGATTTTCCCTCAAACATGTTCTGATGGTTAAAGAAAACAGAGGGACAAAAACAGCAATACCTCTAGACCAGAAGCTTCGGCTACTGAAATATCGGGCTGGATTCCTATGCACACCACAATGTAGTCAGAAGAGATAGATCTTGATCCGTTCACCTGAAGGCTCTGATGTTTGAATAAATCTACGAGATACGGCGTTTGTCAAAAGCAAATGATCACTGAAGGAAAGCTGTACCTCCACTTCCAACTGCTCGCCATGTTTCCGAGCCCCGGTGATCTGCAAAAATTGATCACAAAATTATACTTTCGACCCACCCATTTTGATAGTTATGGATGCTCAAATTAACCAGATATCCGCTCCAGTGCGACCTGACCCGTGCATAGAGATTCACCTTCTACAGCAGAGTTTCACTCCGGCCAGTACCACTCAATTCTCAATATTTGAAGCTGGCAGCAGGTAAAGGCGTTCACGCTCAGAAAATCAATCTATGTGTAGCTTCGACACCAGCCAGCTTCCAAGGGAAACGTTTTCAGAGTTCGCAATAACAAATCAAGGGAGTGTCATAGCACGGCGTGAGAGCAAACTTTTGCTCACAAATTCGTTTCGAGACGGTCCAGGGCCTATAGAGAATGTAGAAAGATTGTTGAATGTTGACTCACCTTGGCATTAGTTATGACATCAACACCTATTCCTCGAAGTGATTCGGCAGCCTTTTTAGACAGAAATTCTGGAAGTACTCGACTGAGATTACCATTCTCCGCAATAACCTAAAATAGAGGAATAAATCGAAATGGCACAATATCAGCCACATCAGAATAAATTTTGAAGCTAACCTGAGTGATTTTCACGTCCTTGTATTTCCTATGAATGCTGTAAGCTAGCTCAGAACCTATGAAACCGCCACCGACGATGACGATAGACTTTGAGGTCTTACATATAGAGTCAAGTGTGCGATAATCGTCCACCTTGAATGATATGAAAGCCAGTATAAAGATACGCGGAGATGGGAAACTGGAAAAAACCGAAAAAGAGACGAACCCCTCGTAAATACAAGACTCTCTTCTTTACGTCTTCTCCTGCATTTTCGAGCTCAGGTAAAGTCTTCGGTTTTCCTCCTTAAAGGGTAGAGCTCAGATCAGACAATTCGACATGAATTCAAAAAGCCTTTACAACGATATAGTTTTTCTTGTTTCATCAAAATTACCTGTGGCAATGAGGCACTTATCGTACGAAATACATGTTCCATCGTCCAGGTAAGCTTTTTTCTCATCGGGATTCAAGTTTTTAACTCGATGTCCTTTTAGTAGCGACACACCTCCGTGAACAGTTGATGGTAGCTCTGCCGGCGGCACAAAGAAACCCTTGAAATGCTAGCCATTTTTTTCGTCATGATTCCATCAACTAACTACCAAGAATCTGTATTAATGGTGCGCGCTGTTCGTGGATGTGGTGAGGGTGTAGGAGATAAAAGTCAGCGACAACAAAGAATAAGAAACAATTCGTTCTTGCGATAAGAACCTGTGTTGAACAGCTCTTGGAAACTCCTTAACAAGGCGTTGGAAACGCCGCAGGGGCGGTAGGGGTGGAATGATACGAAATGCTGGCAGAAATAAACTGCTAATGAAACTAGGAGTCAAACCAGCCTAGTCGGAAGAAGTGTAGCGCATGGGGGAAAGAGAAATGCGTTGGCCGGTAAAACACTGATCAAAGTATGAAAGGCATCTACCTCAGCT